TTGTACATATAAAGAAATAAAAGAAATACTATATTAAAAATGTACAAATAATAGTAACTATAATTACTAATATTTTATTAGTAAGTATTAAGATGATTATTTAAAACCTATTAAAATATTATTTTATAAAATAACAAAATAAAAAAATAAAAAAACTTTATTAATATTTATTAATTTTTTAGGGGGGAAAAAATAAAATAAAATGATCTTAAAGATTTTAAAAATAATTAATATTAATAATTGATAGCCTTTCAAATAATAGAAAAGGCAATAATATTAATAATAATTATAGATCATTTGCTTTTAGGAAAGAAATGAAATAAAAAAAAAGTATAAAAAGAATATAAAATTGTTTCTTTTAAATCATCCAAAACATTTTAAATAAATAAACATCAATTTTTAAAATATTTAAAAAAACTTTATAGCTTTCTTTCTCTTTAAAAAAAAAAATTATTAATATTTAAAAAATGAAATTCGTTCAATTATTATGCGCTTTATTACTCTGCTTAGCAGTTGTCTCAGCCAATGTTTCACCACGTGATGTCTCATTAACCCAAGAATCAATTGGATCATGGAAACAAGGAAAAGATATCATCTCCCAATACTCTGTAACCATTAATAACCACACCAACAAAGTTATTACATCTATTCACATTGGTACCGATCACTCACTCACTTTAAGATTACCAAGTGATATTTGGAACATTGAAAGATTAAGCAATGGTGATTTAACTTTAGCCAAAGGTCAAACTATTGCTGCCCATTCATCTACTACATTCTACTTTATCTTAAAAGGTACCCATCGTGCAAACTTAGTTGTCAAATCAGTTCAATATTAAATATAATTTAAATATACATAAATTTAAATTCTTTCTATAAAAATGAATTTAAGAAAATAAAAAACTAAATAAAATAAAATATAGTTTTAATTTTTAATACAATAGTTTTTTTTTTTTATTCGAATTTTTTATTAAATTAAATATATATATATATAATTAATAAAATAAATAATTATTCTTCTTTTTCTTTTATTTATTTTTTAAAAATTTTTAATTTTTTGAAATGTTTTTTGAATAATTGTTTTGGTATAAGTAAAACATTTTACAAAAACACTAAAGAAATCGGAAGGTGAATAATAACCACCATATAATAAACAAAACATAGTGACTGGTATAGCAGCTAAAAAATCTACAAAATAGTGATATCTGAGATACATTGTGGCTATGGCAATTAAAATAGCGGAAATAGTAGAGACAAAACCATAAGCAGGTAAAATTTTATAACTTGAAAGGCCAACAGCAAAACTTGTGGCAATATGACCCGATGGGAATGAACCAAAACTACCAGTAGCGGCGTTATCTATTTTCTCTCTAATAAAGCCAGCGAAACCAAAACCTGTTAATTTTTCTGAATATAAATTCTTAAGATAAACTCTTGGACTTATTGCTGGGAATATAAGATTGATTGAGAATACAATAAAATAGGTACTGATCCATGAACAAATAAACATTTTTAATCTTTGATCCCAAATTGGCATCATTCTTTGTTTTTGTGGGTCGGTTGATAAATGACATCTCCATAGGTTCCATAAAATATAAACTTCCATTAAATAGCCCCAAACATAATAACTAATATAAGATAATTGAAAGACTTCAGTAGAAAGCTTGCCAATGAATGAACTTGGACCTACTATTGTGCTGTCTTCGACAAATTTAGCCATTTGACCATTTGGCCATAACCAACCCATTAAAAATGAATCAGATGCATATAAACGAGAATCCCATAAGATTTTATTTCTATCTGTACCAATAACAACTGCACCTGTTGCTGCGAAAAATGCTGGAATGGTTAAACCCAATGCAATTGATAATACTGTTACTGAATACAAATATGTTCTATTATTGGTTGAAAGTGCTGCACATGTATATGAAATAAATATTGTAAGTGAAATTAAAAATGCAAACATAATTTTCTATAAATTAAAAATTAATTATTATTAGTAAACAATTTATTTAATATATATATAATGAATTATATTAAATTTAAAACTTACAATTGGTCCAACTAATAAACTATATACTATTGAAAATAAAATTACTATGCCAACTAAAAGTGTATATGTTACATCGGAATAAACTGGTGAATATTGATATCGAATTGAATTATTATTTGTAACTGCATTTGAATATAAAAATGTATTTGTTGATTTTTTATTATATTTTAAATCATCAATATCTTTATCCATTGACGATGTTGGATGTATATCTATTTTAAAATCTTTTGGTCCTGCTCCATCTTCACCATCCGATGATTCCATAAGAATTGGTTGAGTATGAATTCCAATTGATTTATCGTCCAATGATGAAATACTATCTTCACTTAGTGATAACGGATTTTTACTTGATCCACTAACAATTTTACCTAATGGAAATGCTGTATACTGTGGTGGTGCAAACCATCCCATCAAAGATAACCTTGGTGGAGCTGAACTTTCCTTAATAATATCTATATCGTTTATATCTGAAGCATCTTCTTCTTTTAAATGAAAATATTTGACTGTAGATTGTGGTTGTAATTCAACTTGTTGTTGGACACCCATTTTATTATAAAAAAAATGTTATTATTATATTATTACTTGTGTTTAGTTTTTCCTATTAAAATATTATATATTCCAGAGTATCCTTTTTAAACACTGTGTATTGTTTATTTCTATATTTGTAAAAAAAAAAAAAAAAAAATATTAATAAATTATTTATTTTTTAAATTAATTTAAATTTTTAAATATTAATTACACAACAAAAACAAAAAAAAAAAAAAAAAAATGATTAATTTGATGATTATTAAAGAAAAGGAAATAAATCGTTTTATATTCTTTTTCTATTTAAATTTTTTTAAAAAAAAAAAGTTTATTATTATTATTATTTATGCTATAACTTTTAATTATTATTATTATTATTATTAATTTTTAAAATTAAAAAAAAAAACAGAAAAAAATTAAATAAAACAAATTTATTAAAATAAATTAAAATTATTATACAATATTTATTATTATCAATAGGAATACTAATTGTTATTATTTATAATGAGAATTAGAGAGAGAGATAAAGTGAAAGAGAATTTTTTCCCCCAGCTTTACCTCACTCATTGAAATAATTATAATAATGGTGAATTAAAATTTTAAATTTTTAAAATAAAAAAAAAATAAAAAAATAAATAAAAAAATAAATAAAAAAAAATAAATAACCACTAAAATTAAATTTAAATATGAATTAAAAAACTGTACTATTTGTGTGGTGAGGTGTTAATTATATGTGAGATTATTCTTTTTGTTATATTACCATTAAGAATTTTTTTTTAATGATAGAAAAAATAAATAGAACCTTTGTTTTTTTTTTTTTTAAAAAAATTATTTATTGATGCTATATGATTGCTAAAAGTTTAATATTAGATATAAATGGGATAATATTTGTTGTTGGTGTTATTGATGCAACAAAATTGTTATTTAATATTGATTTAAATATTGTCCAAAAAACTATTTATTTTTTTAAATTTTGTTATTCTATTGTTGATATACAAATGATATTACTGTTGCTTTAGCACAATGGCGGTTTTGTAAAAAAATGAATTTTTTTTTTAAAATTTTTTTTTAAAATTTAAATTTTTTTTAAAATTATTATTATTTATATATGTTTTACACACAACCCTTTTATTTTTTTTTTAAAAAAACACCCCTAATGATAATTAAAACATGGGTGAAATTAATGATTTATTATTGGCATTTATAACCACGTTAAAAAGATAATAACAGATATTTTTAACAACTATGTGGGGTGTGGGTTATTATGTGTGTGAAATAGTTGTGTGTGTTTATAAGTTAAAAAAAAATAATTAAAAAAAAAAAATATATATTTCTTCAACAATAATAAAAAATAAAAAAATAAATAACACCACATAACCACTCAACGTGTGAAACAAAATTAGAAAATGTATAAATCGAATTATACCATACCCTTTTTGTTTAATAAATGGATAAATAATAAATAAATAAATAAATAAATAAAATAAATGGATTAAGATTTTTTTAAAACAAGGAAAATGGAATTGATAAATTAAAAAAAAGGGATCCACTGCTTTTTTTTTAAAATTAAAAAAAATAAAAGGGAAAATAAAGATTTTTAAATAAATTAAATATATTTAGAAGTTGAGTTATTACTAATTTAATTCTTTTTTTTTTTTTAATTTTTTTTTTTTGTTTATACTAAAAACTAATTTGGAAATTTGTTATTTGTAATTAAAAGGTAATAATGAAATTTCTTTATTTTTTTAACAGATCGAAAAAGACAAATTTATATATATTGTTTATTTTGATTTAAATTATCATATTACTTTTTATAAATTATATTTATATTTTTATTATTATACAATTGATGGTACAATTTCTTTAAAAAAAAAATAAAAAAATAGAGATGGATTGAGACACATTAAAAAAAAGAAAAAAAAAAAAAAAAAAAAAAAAAAAAAAAAATAAATAAATAAAAAAATAATAAACAATTTAAATAAAATAAAAATAGAATTTATGATGCGCAATTGAACGATGATTAATTGATGATTATATAATAACAACAACTTTTGAGAGGGTTACAACATAAAAAAATTATTTTTAAAAAGACACTAAATTATGACAGTTTTTTTTTAAAATTTTGTTTTTTTTGAATTTTTTGAAAAAAAAATAAAATAAAAAAAATAATTAGATATTTACCTTTTAATCTTTGCAAAAATATTTGAAAAAAGAAAAATAAGGATTTGAGAAATTGTAAAATATATATATATGTATAAAATTATTATTATTTTATGTAATATTTTATTTTATGTTTACAAACTTTATTTAAAAATTGAAGTGAGTTTAAACCGTTGGTGTGGGGTTTGGGAAGAAAAAAAAAAACTCCTAACAATACTAAAAAATAAAGTGTAATGTTATATAATCAAGCGAAATAAAAAAAAAAAAAACAAAAAAATGGGCTTGGGTTTGATTCCTTTGCTTTTTATTTTTGTGGGTTTTTTTTTCTAATTCACTATGTTGTGTAGTGGTACAAAAAATAATAAATGTAATAATTATAAAATTATTAAATATTTATTAATTCTTTTGTTATTAATTTAAATTAAAATTAAGAGGTATTAAGAAAAAAAAAAAAAATTTTAAAATATTTTAAAATTTTAATTTTAATATTTAAAATTTTTTTAACTATTTAGAATTTTAATTTAAAAAAAATAAAATACAACTATATAACTTTTTTTTAAAAACTAAACTAAGTAAACAATAACCCTTTTTTCAAAATGCGTTAGTGAACACAAAGAAAAAAGAAAAAAAAAAAAAAAAAAAAAAAGAAAAAAAAAAAAAAATTGGTTTATAGTTTTTAAAAAATAAAAAAAATAAATAAAATTTTATTTAAATTTAATTCAAAAAAAATATTATTTTAAAAAAAAAAATTAAAATAATATAAAATTTCAATTTTTTATTCACCCTGAATGATGTGATATGCCATAACCTTCACAAAAAAAAATCAAAAAATCATTTTTTTTTATTTTTTTTTTTTATTTTTTTTTTTTGGTTATTTTTTGATATCAAAATTGATTTTATAATAAAACAATTATTGCTTAAAAGAAAATAATCGAATAGAACCACAAGAATGGAATATCCAACCACATTTTTTTTAAAGGTTTTTTTTTTATGGATTTGATAAAAACAATACCACATTTTTTCAAAAGTTTTTTTATTATTTATTTTAATAAGGAATGTTCCCCTCATCGAATATGTCCCCATTTTCATCCAACGATTTGAATTCTATTAATTTTTTATTTGTATTAATTGTAATACTTGAAATGTAACTAGAAATAAAATAAAAAAAAATAAATATTAATATATTTTTTTTATTTTTTTTTATAGAAAATAAATTACTTACTGAGCTGATTTCGAAAAAGATTGATACCATTTTAAACCTGAATATGGTAGAGGTCTAGTACCAGTACCCCAACTACCATCACCTATATATACAGTCGATTTTTTTGATGTGTCATTTACGACTTGGTCGTTAAAAAGTGGATGTGTACGTTTATAGGCATGATCGTGATTTTCAAAACCTATATTAAAATGATATTTATCGAAAATAGATAACCAACTTTCACGAAGAGCTTTTGATTTTGGATTTTCATATTCTCTAATAGTTGGGTACATTGGTACGTGATAAAGTGAGAAACGAAGTTGTGTCGAGTTGAATTCACTTGATAGTTTTTGATCCATCCAAGATGATTGTTCTTCGAGTGTTGCAGCATGACCAGAGTCTAAATTAAAAATTACAGTACCAGTTGGACCACCAATGTTAATTGTGTTGTAGGTTGGACGGTCATCGACATTGTTTTTACCAGGATCTGTACTTTTAGTGACTTGTGGGAAATAACGAACAAAGAATGGAATTCTATCTCTTGATGCACCATAATCACCGATTACTTCATGATTACCGATCGATGCTACCAATGGTATATAAAAACCATCTGGTGTTATCATCTTTGTTTGCCAATGATTTAACCATTTATCTACAATTCTATAGCAGGTGTACTGGGCATGGTCATAGGCAAGATCACCTCCAACCATTGCAAAATCGGGAGATTGAGAGGCTGCTACTTTTGAAACCATTACGGAGTTCTCTGTAACATCAACATCACCACTAACAACAAAGCTGTATGATTGATTTGGGTCGTCAGTTTGTGTTTTGAATTTACGTTCTTCAGAGTAACCATTTTCATCCGAGCCACATCTAAAATAATAGGTTGTGTTTGGTTGTAAGTTCTCTAAATGTACCCAGTTTACATATCTTATAACCTCCAATGGCATTTCATAATAGTTTCCGCTTGCAGAGAATTGGTAGTTGCTAATTGAACCATTGGTGGCACTAATGGAGGTGGTATCGTATTTACATATTGGTGTTGGTACTTTATCGCCTTTTTCTAAAGATGTATGGAAATTTGCAATAATTGAATTATGTGGTGATTGATTAAGTGTTAAATATACATAACATGGAAAACCTGTTGCTGCACAAGTTGGAGTTAAATACTTTCTTATAATTCTAGAGTCTATAAATGATAGTTGGTCTTCGCAGGTACCTTCTAATACTATAGTCAATGCTAAAATTGCACACAATATAACAAATAAACCAAACCAGTAAACCATATTTTCTCTAAAGTTATGAATCTTTAATTTATTCCTTTCTAACCATTTCTTTGCTGCTGGCATTTCGATTGTATTTAGAATGGCTTGGGGTTTTGAAGGTATAACTAAAGATATCCAATGAACTGCAGCCACAACATACATTATAATAATACCAGCGGCTATATGTAGTTTATCAAACATTACCAAAGCCAATACCAAAAGTTCGAATATCACCAAAGCAGCAACACTCTCGATAAATATTGCCATGTGGTTTCTTCTATTTTTAAATTCTATAAATTCGTACTTCTTTTTACCATCCTTCTTATCCTTGTTAAACCCGTCATATTGATCTTCTTCACCTGCATTCTTTAATTTTACATCACCCAAATTATTGCATTTCTTCTTTGATATATTATATATTATTATAAAATGTAATAGGAACAACAGTATTAAAAAAATATCTAAAATACCAATACCCAATAGTGTTTTTTCTTCTACGCTAAAATTCATTCTATTATTTTATAGTATACTATATCATTATTTAAAATATTAATAATAATATTTTTAACAATGTTTTGGTAATAATTTTTTTACTAACGAAAGAGATATTAGTATAATTTTATTATATTGTTATAAATTTTATTATTTTTATGAAAAAAATAAAATTTTTTTTTTATTAATTTTAAAAATAAAATATAAAAATAAATATTAACACACAAAAAAATAAAAATATAACCACACAAATATTTTTTTAATTAGTTTTGGGTAAAGGCTGATATTATAAATGAAATATGCATACCTAGAGTAATTTGTATTTGTACAGGTTAGAATTAATCTTTTTAATGTTAAATTTTTTGAAAAAAAAAAAAATAATTATAAAAAAAATAATCTTTTAAAAAAAAAATAAATTAATAAAAAAAAAAAAAAAAAATAATTATAAAAAATAAAAATAAATTAAAAAAACTAATTAAAACAATTTTTTGTGTAATGTAACCGATTCATTTAAAAATAGAAAAAAATCTAATCAAAAAAAAAAAAAAAAAACATGGTGGCTTGATCACCTTTTTTTTTTTTTTAATATTTTTATATTGAAATATTTTTAAATTTATTCTTCATTTGAACTATTACCATTACCATTATTACTATTATTATTTTTATTACCGTTATTGAGATTATTATTTTCTATTAATTGATTTTTACATTGATCTAAAAAACTTTGAGTTATAGGTTCTAGTTTTGTGCTTTCACCTGATGGATTGATAATTTTAATAATGGATTTCATTTTGTCCATAAATGTTGTGGAGTAAGGTGGTTCGATTATATCTAAAACTTGATTGATAAAATAACGAGTTAGAGAGGGGTCAATCTTTGGTGCCCATTGCTCGATGGTATCTAATACAGGTATAACATATCCGCAACTAAATAAATAAACTATATTATCGATAACATTTTTTCTCATTTCTAAAATTGCTAATGATTCTAAATCTTGTGCTTCTACTTCAAAATGCGAGGCTAAAATATTTAATACAACTGATCTATGTAATGGGTGTCTAATAACAATCTATATATACAAAAGGTATATTAATATAAAATATTAATTTTAATTATTGTGTTTTATAAAAACTTACGTCTCTTAAAAAATCTAAATAAATTGGTACACATAATGTATTGTAGCTTGAAAGATTGGTTGTATCAGTCAAGTTATGTTTAATCCATTGCATAATACCCATCGAGATAATAGGTAAATCTAAATGTTCTTTTAAAAGTGGGACGGCGCTTTGTAATTCAGAACCTAAAGGGTTTGATTGGCAGATTGAATGAACTACTTCAATGGCACGTACAATATCATTAAAGCTGCTATCTTTTTTACCTTGATTATTTACACAGATACTATAGGTTATTAAATGAATCCATTTGCTTTTGTGTTGAGATTGAATGTTTTTACCTGGACAAAATAAATCGTTCAATAATAATTCCAATAAATTTGGATATCTAAGAAAATCTACTGGTGGTGGATTTGGTTTTGTATATTCATTATAGAGTTTAATTATATCACCAGTAGTTGTTGTATTTGACATTAATAGTGATGAAATACTTGACGCAATTAATGGGTATTGTGAAATATCTGACATCATTAATGAAATTTTTTGGGCGATTTTATTCCTAAATATAATAAATAGTAATAATAGTTAGTATAAATTAATAGTGTTAATGAAATGGATATAACAATCCAAACAATAATATTACTTTTTAATGGCTTCTAATTCTAATTCCTGTGAAATTCTTTTTAGGTTATATGCATTTGGATTATTTTTAATTAAGTTTTGAATTGTAGCTTGTGCATATAAATAGGTGTGTTGATGTGAGCAGCATGCTTTTTTAAAATCATCCAATGCTTGACGGAATGATATCTCATCCAATGTTATTAGTTGAGCCAGTGAGTCAAATAATACTTTATTAAAAACACTATAATATGTTGAAGCTGTACTTAATGATGCAATTTCGTTTTGGTAACCTGCATCTGAAATTCTTTGAATAATAAAATTTAACATTAAAGAGTTTTTATGTTCTTCTGATAATAAATAAATTAACGATCTCCATCTTGAATCACTTATCATTTCATCTAACCATGTTGGCATTGTTGTATACTATAATGATTAAAAAAAAAGAATAAATTAATTACAATTTAATTAAAACTAAAAAAAATTTAATTATAAATAGTGCACTTACTGATGTAAAAATTTCATCTGCAACTTTTGGGTCAAATTTATTAATAATGACTTCTTTTAAATGATTTGCAAATTGTGTTTGAGTTTGTTCTTCGGGTATACCTGCTATTTTTGACCAATAACAAATTAAATTACACATTTGTGCATATCCTCTATAACTTTCTGATAAAAATCTAATAACATCCTATTAGTTTAAAAAAAAAATATTAATATATATTTGTGACACGACAAATTAATATTTTAATTAAATTGTATATTTACATGAGGTGAACCACTTGCAGAAATGTAATCTTTCATTAATGTTGATGCATCTACAGACATAATTGAGTCTGGTATTTGAAGTAATTCTTCACACTTTAATTTAGTTTGTTCATTGCTTGGTTCATTTTCTGAATTTGGTGCTGTGTGTGCTGGTGAAGTTGATGTTGGTGATGAATGTGATGGTGAAGTTGACATTGTTATTAATAGCTATACTATAATGTTGTCATCTATAAACTATCCAATCTATTTTATTAATTATTTATTTTATTTACAACAAGATAGATTAAAAATGTAATTAAAAAAATAAATTAAAAATAAAGAAAAATTAAAAAAAATTAAAAAAATAAAAAAAAAAAATTTAAAAAATTAAAAAAAAAAATTTAAAAAATTAAAAAAAAATTTAAATAAAAGAGAGGCAAATTGATTATCTTATAAAGTAACTATTTATACATAAGTTTTATTACTTCCCCGAAATACAATCAACATGAAATATTTATTCCACAACATTAAATTTTGTACTAAAATAATATTTATTTAAAATAAAATTAATAAAAAATAACCCCTTAAAATGTGGGTATAAAAATCTAAACATTATTCCTTATAAATAATAAATAAATAAATTATTAACAAAATAAAATAAAAATAGTATATAAAGAAAAAAATATTGCCAATGTTATTTTTTTTCTATTTTTAATTTTATTATAAATTTAATTAAAATTATAAATATAATAATAATTTTTTCATAAAAAATAAAAAAAAAAAAATAAAAAAATTTTAAAAAAAATTTTAAAAGTTTTTTTTTTTTTTTTTCTTTATTTTTTATCTTTTGATATATTAATATTAATATTATTTTGTTTTGTTTTGTAATAATAGTGATAAATAAATTGTTTTTTTTTTTTTCTTTTTAAAAAAATAATAATAAACTAAATAAGAATAAAACAGAAAAAAAAAAAAATGTCATCAATTCCATCATTCAACGAAAGGGTACATTATTATAAAGAGGCCATTAAACCAGATTCAATTGATATATCAATTATTCAACATTTAGCCGAACAGGGTATACCAGAATCACATGGTTTAAGATCATGCTATTGGAAGGTAAAGAAAAATAATGACAAAATAAACTACCACCACAACAATAATAAACAGCAACAATATTAAATCAAATTATCAAATTATTAAATTAATATTAATTTCATAATTTTTTAAAATAGATTTTATTAAGATATTTACCAGTAAACAGAACTATTTGGGATTCATTTTTAGAAAAAAGCAGAAAAAGTTATCAAGATTTCATAAATGAATTAATGATTGATCCATGGAAAAATCAAACACCACCATCAAAAGAAGAACTTGATCATGTAACTATAACAATTTTATAAAATATTTATATTACATTTTATAGTTATTAATTTGTTTTTATAGCCATTAAGCACACAAACAGATAGCAAATGGAATGAATATTGGAAAGATCAAAATATTTTAATCGACATTGAAAAAGATGTTAGGAGAACATTTCCTTCAATGCATTTCTTTAATTATCAAGATGAGGATGGCAAATCTATCCACTATGAAGCATTAAGACGTATTTTATTTATCTATGCCAAATTAAATCCAGGTATTAAATATGTTCAAGGTATGAATGAAATTTTAGGTCATGTTTATTATATTTTTGCAACTGACCCAAACAAAGAGTGGCAAGCCAATGCAGAGGCAGATTCTTTTTATTGTTTTACAAATTTAATGAGCGAAATTCGTGACAACTTTTGTAAAACTTTAGATAGATCGGATGTAGGTATTATAAGCAGTATCAAAAAACTAAATGGAATTTTAAAAAAAAATGATTTCGAATTATGGAATGATCTAGTAAGTATATCTATTATTAATATATGCTTTTTATATTATTTATAAAAGCTAATCATTTTATTTTATAGGAAGAGAAAAAAATAAATCCTCAATTTTATAGCTTTAGATGGATCACCTTATTATTATCCCAAGAATTTGAATTACCCGATGTACTAAGATTATGGGATGCCTTATTTGCTGACCAAGATAGATTTGATTTATTATATTATTTTTGTTGTGCTATGTTAATGTAACTATCCCTAATAGTCACCATTAAATATATCTATATAAAGTTATTAAGTTTTTTTTTTTTACAAAACTTTAGATGTGTAAGAGATCAATTAATAACATCAACTTTTGCAGATTCTCTAAAATTATTACAATCATATCCAAATACTATAGATTTTCATACAATTTATTCGACAGCGTTATCATTAAAAAATAAAACATTTAAATTAAATAAAGAGAATGTATTAGAGTCTGGTCAATCATATGCAATTAAATTTTTTAACCCATTTTCATTAGGAAACCACTCAACCTCACCAAATTCAAATAGTGGTAGAAATAGCCCAGTTGTAAATAGTAATGAAACTCTAAATAATGAAAGTAATAACAATAACTTTAACAGTACTGCTAGTAATCTTTTAAATAAACTTAAATCATCATCATCTGCAAGTTCGTCACCAGCATCCCCACCTGTATTACAATCAACAATAAATCACTCACCAAACATACATAATAATAACAATGATAACAATAATAATAATAATAATAATAATAATAGTAATAACAATTCAAATAGTTCAACCCCTATAATTAAAGGATTCTTTTCAAAATATTTTGAATCTTAAATTAAATAATAACGATAATAAATAAGAATATAGGTAATAATAAATAAATATAAATTATATAACAATAAAAAATATATAATATTAACTGTAAAAAAAACTAAAAAAAAATAAAATAAAAATAAAATTAAACAATAATTTTAAAAATATTTCCTAAGAACTTTTTTTATTTTTTATTTATAAATCTTTAATTAGTTTTTTAAATATATCATTTGAATCGTCAATAACTTTAATTATTTCCATTAAATCTGGTTCTTTTCTAAAACTAATGTTATTGAGGAAATGATAATTTGTTGAGCTTATGTAAATTGATGTGATATTTTTTGGTAATGGTAATTTTATATTTGCTGCACCTCTGATTATTAAAGTTTCAACGGATGAGGGAACAATGGCCATTAAAAAATCTTCAGCAAAGATATAGTTTAACTCTAAAAGTTTTAAATTTCCAACTGTTGGTAGAATAAATTTTTCGTAGTTGTAGGTAAAATAGGTTGATAGTGCCTTGATTTTGGTCAGTTTGGAATAATCTCTATTTTTACCATCATGTCCATGGTAGATATCTCTAAATGATACTACATGTTTTGGAGCTGAATAATTGGTGATGGTTTTATGGGGATTTACATAAAAGTTTCTTGTTGTGAGGTGCTTTACAGTTTCTGGAATTGAAATATATTTAGAAATACTGGGTGCCACAAGGGAGTAAACATTAATTGATGATAAGCCTAAATCTAGATTTTTGGTATTTGAAATACGATCTAAAAATTCTAAACTTAATATTTCCTTTGGCATTTTTTCAAAGCATTTTGAAAAACTTTTTGAAAAGGTTGAGAATTTATAGAGTTTACTAGGTGCATTTTTTGCTTTAAATCTTGATCCAAATTGAAGAGATTTTAAATCTACTAGTAGCCCTAAATCAAGGTCTCGTCTTTTTGGTTCGATTCCGAAGCCTGGATTATCATCATCGAATAGTTCGAATTTAAGTGATGTGATAGATAATGGAAAAGTATTTTGTTTAATTTCGCCTTGATATTTTTCTGGAAGTATAAGCTTTTTTAAAGAGTTTGGAAGAGAACCTGGCAGTAAAGGACCATTGAATGATTTGCCAAGTCTTAGCTTAACTAAATCGGGTGGGAGATTGTAAGATGAAAGCTTTAAATTACGACATCCATCGCCAAAATCTAAATCGGTAATACTCTTTGGAAAATATGCTTCATTATTTTCTTTAAAAGAACCTAGTTTGAGTGTTTTTAATGTTGTTGGAAGTACCCCCTCTTTTAAATTGTCATTGAATTGACTCCCTAAATTAAGATACACCAGACCACTAGTTGGAAAAAAGTTAGAGCTACGACCTATGAGCGATTTAAAAAGGCTGCCCATATCAAGACTTTCTAAAGTTTCTGGAATTACCAACGAGTCAAAAATATTATCCCCTAGTCTAAGTGTTTTAATATTACTTGGAATAATCAATAGATTGCCATTATCTAATTTTCCAGCTAATTGAATAGTTCGGACTGATCGTGGTAATTGTTTAATAAGTGTATTTAAAAGAAATACATCGTCTTGGTAATATAATACAACAGATCTTAAATATTCCCTATTTTGGTAATCCATTGATTTTTTCGTTACAATTCTTTTATGGAAATGAATATTTAACATTTTCAAATGATATAAAATATAATTTTTTATAACCAAATTTCTATAAATGGTTAAAAAACTAATTTCTTTAGATTGCATTTTTTTTTTTTTTTTTTACAAAATATGATTATGATTATTATTATTAATACAATTTTCTATAATACAAGATTATAATTTATTTATTTACAAAAAATATAAAGTATATACATAAATAGATTATTGAGGGCAATTTAATAAAAATAAAATAATTAAAAAAAATAAGAAAAATATTTTTAATTTTAGAAAATAAAATAAAAAAAAAAAAAAATAAAAATTTTTCATTTTTATAAATTATTTTTTTTAATTTTTTCTAATTTCCATTTTATTTCATATTTGTGGATCAACCTTTTTTATTCTATTTATTGGTTCTTTCTGAGCAATGTCATTGTATAATAAATCAACACAGTTTAAAAATTGGGTTTTTACAAATGAACAATTAAAGCAATCAAGAGAAGAATGTAATAATGAAACTAAAAAGAAAATATTAGAAAAGACACCTACACATGAACCAAACATATTATCAACTGAAGAAGAACTACAACTAATTCATTACTATGAGAGCAAGGCTTTAGAGTTTAGTAATGCGCTAAACTTACCAGAAAAAGTTTCAGTAAGTTTATTTCATTTTACAAAAACACACACACGCAATCATCAAATATCGCACCTATTAGTATTAACCAATATTTATTATTATTATAGGCAACAGCAATTATTTATATTAAAAGATTTTATTTAAAAAATAGTGTTATGGCATATAACCCCAAACTAATAATGTTTACCTGCTTATTTTTAGCATGCAAAACAGAGGATAATCATTTAGATATCGACTATTATACAGGTGTCATCAAAACATCAGCAGCAGATATTATTAGTTTAGAGGTTGTTATTTTAGAATCATTAAAATTTAATCTTATTATTTATCATCCATTCAGATCACTATATGCATTCATATTAGATATTTCAGACAACACCAATTTATATAATAATTCTCAACCTATAAAATTTGACACACTTTGGGATACCTCAAAAAAACTTATTCAAAAAACTTTATTCAGCGACTTATCTTTTTATTATCACCCAGCAATTATTGCTTTAGCATGTTTAAGTTTAAATTTTGAAAACTTTAATCTGTAAGCTAATTAAATTAATAAATTAATAAATAAATAATAAAAAATACCAATACTAATTTTTAAATTAATTTTAGATTTATTGAAAATAAATTTAAAGATAAAGATGAAGAAAATTTAAATGATTTAAAGAAAAAAATAAATGAAATAAAAGAAATCATTAGTAAAATACCTGAAAAGCCAGATATAGAAATTGTAAAGAATATTGATAAAAAAATAATGTAACTATAAAACATAATATATTTTAATTTATCAAATACGATATTAATTTTATTTTCCTTTTACAGTTATTTAAATAAAACAGATAAAAGAAAATCTAAAAAAGATCCAAACAAAAACCCAAAGAAAAAATCAAAACCTGCAGCTGATGGCAATAAACCTCCAACTGCACCTGCACCTGCAACCACAACGGAAACAAACGATCAAGTAATGAAAGATGTAAATATCACAACAGCCACCACAACAGAAACAGATATGAAATCATAGAAAAATAAAAATAATAAAATAAGTGTAAAAAAGAAACAGTTATATATTTTTATACAATTTAAAAAAAAAAAATTATAATCTACAATACATATAATTTTTTAATTATATTTTATTTTTGTTTTGTTTTTTTAAATATTTATATTACTGTTTTTTTTTTGTTTTTTAAAAATAACATTTTCTTTGGTTGTTTAGTTATTTTTGGTAACAGCATGCATAGCTTTAGCTAAATATTCAACGTTGGTTGAATTGATACCAGCAATTGAAATACGACCATTTCTTGTTAAGTAAATATGGAATTCAGATGCTAAACGATCGACTTGTTCTGGGGTGAGACCAGTGAAACAGAACATACCAATTTGGTTGGTGATGTGACTCCAATCACGAGTTGAACCGTGTTTCTTGAGGTATTTAACGAGTTGTTCTCTCATATCAATGATACGATCGGCCATACCTTTAACTTCAGTTCTCCATTGGTTGGTGAGTTCTTTATCTTTGAGAATGGCTGAAACGAGACGAGCGCCATAAACTGGTGGATTTGAATACATTGGACGAATTAAAATCTTTAATTGGGATTCAACGTTGATGGCTTCTTCTGGGGTGGCAGTTAAGAGTGAGAAAGCACCGATACGTTCACCATAGAGACCAAAGTTTTTAGCGAATGATTGGCAGAGAGCAATGTTGTGACCTTGTTCAACGAATAAACGAATGGCAGCAGCATCTTTTTCTGGGTTACCAGAGGCAAAGCCTTGGTAAGCAAAATCAAAGAGAACAAAGTGTTTACGTTCTTTACAGATATCTGAAATCTTTTTCCATTGTTCCATTGATGGATCGACACCAGTTGGGTTATGGGCACAAGCGTGTAATAAAATGATTGAACCTTCTGGAGCGCTCTTGATATCGTTGCTCATGGCATCAAAGTTGAGACCACAAGTCTTTGGATCGTAATAACCATATGATTTAACTGGAACACCACAATCGGCGAAAATAACATTATGATTACCCCAGGTTGGATTTGGAACGTAGGCGGTTTTACCTTGATAGAAACGACCTAAGAAAGCGGCAGCAATACGAAGAGCACCAGTACCAGAAATAGCTTGAACAGTGGTGATACGTTTTTCTTTAATGTGTTGTGAATCTTCACCTAAAGCTAATTGAGCAGCTAATTGATTGAATTGGGCAACACCAACAATTGGAGCATATTCGTGATCAACATTGGCTTCAAAAACTTTTTTATCGGCTTTTTTAACACAATCTAAAACGTATGGTTTACCATTTTCATCACGGTAAGCACCAACACCTAAATTGATTTTATGTGGTGATTGATCTTTGTTGAAGGCGAGACTGACACCTAAAATTGGATCTTCTGGTCCCTTTTGGACTTGACTCCAAAATCCAGTTGAGTATTTTCTGGTGTTTTTGACTAATCTTGCTAAATGTCTGGTTGATGAAATCATCTTTTTTTCTTGAAAAAATTTAAATAAATGTATAAAAAAATTAAAATAAAAGAAATATGAAAAATAAAAAAATATAAAAAAAAAATATAAAATTAAAAAAAAAAATTTTAAAAAAATTTAAAAAAAAATAAAAAAAATAAAAAAAAAATAATATTCATGACGAAAGGATATACTATTTAAATAAATTTGTTGCAAATACTGATAAAAAATAAAAAAAAGAAAAAAAAAACATATATATATTATTCAATATAAATTTTTTTTTATTATTTTTTTTTTTTTGTCCATGGATCGCAATAGTTTTTGAAAAAGGAGATTGGTGGTTAACCAATGGAGATAATAAAAATCATTATATTAATAATAATACAATTAATATCTTTTCTTTAATTTTTTTATTTAATTCTTTATATAGAAAAAGTATTTACGAAATAATATATTATCTTCAATTGAATAAATTTCAGCATTATCACAATTTTTTTTTTTTTTTTTTTTTTTTTTTTCAACATTTTTTTTTAATTTTTTTCATTTTTTTAATTTTAAAAAATATATTAATAAATTTCGTAATAAAATGAGTGGTATCGCAGAAAAAAGAGAAAATGATCAACACGATAACGAAAAACAAACTAAAAAAATAAAATCGAAAACAAAAGGTATTGTATACATATATAGCAATCATTTTATTCAATGTAAACCAATTGTTAATATATTTTTTCATTATCATTATAACCAGAATTACCTTTTGAGCAATTATATTTAGATAGATTACCAAATGCATTAATGTATGAAAAAAGTTATATGCACAAAGATATTTGCACATTTGTTACAGTCAGTAGATCAGAATATATTATTACAACAGATATATTGGGATATGTAAAGTTTTGGAAGAAACAACCAACAGGAATAGAATTTGTTAAAACATTTAGATCACACAACGGTCCAATATCATCTTTATCAATTTCATTCGATGGTTCATTATTATGTACAGTTGGTTTTGATAAAAATGTTAGAATTTTCGATGTAAATAATTTTGATTTAATAAATTCTTTTAAAGTTCCATTTTTGCCACTAACTTGCGAATGGGCCTATGGTGTTAACTCAAGTAAAACTTTAATTGCAATGTAAGTTATAGAATATATATTTGTTTTTTAAAATATTTATTAACTCTTTTTTTTACAATTATTATAGTTCTTCAAGAGAATCATCAGATATTAATTTATATGATTCAAAGTTAGAGTCTACAAATAATAATAGTAATATTGAGCCATTACATATCATTAAAATTCATAAAAAACCAGTTCATTTAATGAAACTTAATCATCAATTTAATTGTATTATATCAGCGGATATTGGTGGTGGATTCGAGTATTGGGATATAGAAGAACCATTTGAAGAACCAAAAAATGTTAAATTTTCATTCAAATTAGAAACAGATCTCTATGATTTCTTAAAGAACCAAACTATACCAACAAGTTTAGAAATTAGTGGTAATGGTCGTTATATTTCAACTATGGCTAGGGATAAACGTATTCGTATTTTCCATTATCAAACTGGCAAACTTCATAGAGTTTATGATGAATCATTCGAAGTTTTACAAAAGATTCAAAAATCAGAAGACCCAACCTATCATATCGATAACGCGGATTTTGGCCGTAGAATGGCAGTAGAAAAAGAAATTGATACAATGTTTGATAACTTTACAAATAATATAACAACTAAACAAGCTCCACCATTAAATGTAATTTTATTTGATGAAACCTCAAATTTTTTAATTTATTCAACATTGGTTGGTATTAAATGTAAGTATAGCATATAGTTGGTTAGTATTTTGGATCAATAGAAACATAAAAATTAATTACATTTATTATTATAGTCATAAATATGGTTACAAATAAAGTTGTTAGAGTTTTAGGAAAAATTGAAAATTCAACAAGATTTTTAGGTTTATCATTATATCAAGGTAAAAATGAAGGTGATGTTTCATTAGGTACTAAAAAGAGAGATAGCGAAAATGACCCAACATTATTTTGTTTAGCATTTAAGAAACAAAGATTTTATATGTTTTCAAGAAGAGAACCAGAAGAGCACGATAACCCAGATTTAGGTAGAGATGTTTTCAATGAAAAGGTTACCAAGGATGAACAATTATTAATTCAAAATGCTCAAAGACAATTGCCAAGAAATGCAGTTATTCATACCTCAGTTGGAGATATTCATATCATGTTATATCCTGATGAATGTCCAAAGACTGTTGAAAATTTCACCACTCATTCAAAGAATGGATATTATGATGGTATAATATTCCATCGTGTTATCAAGGGTTTTATGGTTCAAACTGGTGATCCATTGGGTGATGGTACAGGTGGCACATCAATTTGGGATAAAGACTTTGAAGATGAATTCAATCGTAACTTAAGACATGACAGACCATTCACTGTTTCAATGGCAAATGCAGGACCAAATAGTAAGAATCATTATTCATTATAAATTTAATATATTTTTACTAACAATAGTATTTTTTTTTTTTATAAAATTTAGCTAATGGCAGTCAATTTTTTATTACAACCGTACCAGTTACAAGATTGGATAATAAGCACACTGTTTTTGGTAGAGTTTATAAAGGTACCGATGTTGTTAGTGCAATTGAAAAAGTTAAAACTGATAAAGAGGATAAACCACTTAACGATATATCAATTATCAGCATTAAAATTACTCAAGAGGTCCCACCAGAATTCCAGAACAAAAAAATATAAATAAAAAATAAATTGAATTTTTATTTTAGAAATATTAAAAATTCAAACCATCCCAATTAATTATCACTTTTTTTCCGAAAAAATAGGAAAAAACTTATTTTTTTAAATTTTTAAATTTTTAAATTTTTAATTTTTTTTTATAAATATTGATTTTTATTTATATTGTTTTTTATAAATATTGATTTTTTTTATTTTTAAATCAATATTAAAAATATTTCAGTAAAAATATTAAATTATAATTATTTAAAATGCACGGCGGAGCAAAATTATTTGTTATTTTATTTTCTTTTTTGGCACTAGTATGCCTTGGTTTTTCAATTTGGAGTGGTATAGTTCTTTTTAAATCTGTAGGTATTATTTGTATTAAAAAAAAAAAAAAAGAAAATTAATTTATTAATACATTAAATAATATAGGTGGATATAGGTAAGGGTTATGTAGAAACAAGCTGTTTGCTTAATAATGTTCAAAATCTACCATTGTGCCTTCCTGCATCAGATACATGTTATGCTTTTAATCATGACATATGGTGGTATAATTATTGGGGACCATCTTATTTTATTTATGTAAGTGGTGGTAACAGTATATACGATGATGGCGCCTATGATGGCAATGGTGATGGTGATGGTAATGGTGGTGATACAGGAGATGGTGATGGCGAGTTTGATGACGGTGGTGATGATGGTGGTGATGGTGGTGGTTTCGATGAAGGTGGCTTTAGTGATGGAGAAATGATAAAATTACATAAAAAACTCGAATCTACTTCAGGTGCAGCAGATTTATCAAATATAAAGGAGTTAAAAAGTGTCAAAAATCAAAAACAACAATTACAACAATTACAACAATTACAACAATCACAATTACAGCAAAAAGTTAGTAGTGATGATTGCTACCCTGGTTGCTATCAAGGTGTTTTTTATGTAGAATATTTAGTTAATAATGGTAGTTATATCAATTCGACTATATCCGGTTTAGTTTCTGATTCCATGACCTGGGTAGACTCTTATTTACAATTCTATTTAAAAGGTGTAAGTTATAATTGCTACTATAACTCCAAAGAACCAAACAATGTTGTTTTGTTTAAACCACCTCTTTTCAAAACAAATGCTCTTGCTGGATTTATTATTACTTCAACTTTTTTCATAATTTTTGTAATTATTGCAATTATAGTGTTTGTAAAAAATCGTCACAACACTTATAGAAGAATTTAACTAAAGCTATTTGTAAAATTTTTAATTTAAATTAAATTAAATAAATGTATATAATTTTTAATAAAACATTATTTATTAGTATATTTATTATTATTATTATTTTCCTTAATTTTTTTTAATGGTTTTGGAAAAGTTGTGAGAAAAATTTAAAGAAAAAAAATAGATAACTGTAGGATTTTTTTTTCGAATTTAACCACACAAAAATATTAAAAAAAAAAAGTGTGTGGTTTTTCAATCACATATCTAACCCACTTCACTTTTTTAATATTTGGGTGTGGTTAAATTCAAAAAAAAAAAAAAAATCTTTTTTCTTTTTTGGAATTTAATTTGAAAATAATATTGACCCATGGGTGTTGCTATAGTGAAATCTAATGGACGTTAGTTCGTCTGGTTTAATCTATGAGTATTTCGAAATATCTTTTTTAAATAATATAAACAAAATATTCTTTAATATAAAAAAAAAAATTAATAACTGCTTTTAAAAAGATTTTTTTTTTTTTTTTTTTTTTCGCATTTAACCACACTAACACACACAAAAATCAAATGGACCTCACACACAAAATTCCCATGCAATGCAATAAAATTGTGTGGGTGTGTGTTGTTTTTATGAATGACTTTCGTCGGTTATTGGTTTTATAAAATTAAAATTTAAATTAAAAAAACAATTAAATAATTTTTTTTATCTTTTTTTTTTTTTTTTTTTTTTTTTTTTTTAAAAATTAATCTTCTTAAAAAATAATTTCCAGTATAAAATTAATTTTAAAGATAAAATATTTATTTAATTAAAAACAAAAAAAAAAAAAAAACGACATTATTATTTTTATTATTAAAAAAGTTTTTTTTTTTATTTTTTTTATTATTAATTTTATTTACCATCTCTCCGACCAATAATAAACACAACAACAATTATATAGTTATAACTATTGTAATATTAGTTTAGATATTTTGTGTGTGTTTTTTGTAGTTTTTTTTGTTTTTTAATTTCATTTTTTTTTTTTAGTTTTATTAATAATATCATTTTATTTTAAAAATAATTTTTTATTTTTTATTTTTGTTAATAAAAAAAAATTATTAAATAATAAAATAATAGATAATTTTTTTGTGTGTATGATTTAATGATATTTTTCATTTCATCTAAAAAAAATTATTTATAGTAACATTACATAATATATCAATATTTGTATTATTTTTTTAAAAAAAAATAAACTAAAAATAAAATAATAAAAAAATAAAAAAATAAAAAAAATAGTAATAATAAAAATAACTTTATTTCATTATTTATAAAATAATAATAATTCTGTAATAATAGTAAAAATTATTTAATTTTTTTTTTTTAAATAATATCATAATTTTTTTTTAGTATCTAAACTAGGAAAAAAATAATTGATTAAAAAAAAAAAATAATTTAAATTAAACAAGAATTTTTATCAAACATAAATTAGTTTTACATTATATATCAATAATATTAATATTATTGGTAGTTTCAAAAGTGGCTTCATTTTTATCATTTTTCTCAAACTCCTTGGGTGGAGCATTCAAAAGAAATAACAACGATAATAATAATAATAATAACAATAGCAACAACAATAATATTAATTTAAATAATCATAAAAGATCACATTTAAGCAAAAGTACAGATAGTACATCATTAAAAAAATCAAAAAATATGTTTAAATATAATCAACTAAAAGATAATTTCATTTCAGTAAGCAATGATGAAGCCGGATATTTTAATGGTAAAGATGTATTTGGAAATAGAATCGAAATAAACTCTGCCAGTGGTTCAGACAGCGACTTTGACGATTTTAATGATTCTGAAGATGATGAAATGGATATTTGCAGCAGTGGCACTAAAATTCAAAATTTACATTTATCAAGATTCCAAAATAACAACCTCGTCAATTCTGATAATTTCTTTAGAAGACAAAGACAATTTATTTATTTACCACAATTCCCAGAAGAAATCATAGCTAAAATATTTTCATTCCTTACTGCAAATGATTTGGTTTCAATTTCATTAACATGTAATTCTTATCATAAAATTGCAAACGATAGAACTTTATGGAGGGATCTCTGTTTTAATTCAACTTGGACCATTTCAAACCTATATCACCCAACATTTGATTATAAAAATTATTATTATGAGAAACATGCTATTACATCGCCAAGTAAGTTCTTTTTAATTATTTTTTAATTATTTATTTTTTAAAAAAATATTAATAAAAATAATTTATTTTTCTATTAGATTGCGCTAAATGGGTATCACCAAAATTCTTTGGAACATTACCAAGCAAAAGATTTAAACATACTGCAACTTATGTTAATGGAAAGGTTTTATTTATTGGTGGTCAAGAATCAGATCAAAAAAGATTCAATGATGTAATTAGCTATGACACAAAAACCCAAACTTTTACAGAAATTCATACAAAGGGTGATACTGTACCAAAATTCTCTAGACATTCCGCATCTGCAATTGGTGAAAAGGTTTATGTATTTGGTGGTTTTGATGGCTTTGGTACCAACTTTAATTTAGCAATTTACAATACTGAAACTAGAGTTTGGACCAACATCCCAAATCATTTCCTCAAAGGATCGCCCCCAGTAAGCCGTACTAATCACTCTTCAGCAGTCGTTGGTAAAAATGTATATATATTTGGTGGTAATAATAACGATGAAAATGGTGTATATCAAGTATTAGACGATTTACATATTTTAAATACAGAAACTCTTACCTGGACCAAGCCAGAAATCAAAGGTGATACACCTTGCGCACGTAGTGGACATTGTATGACTTCTATTGGAAACAAACTTTATCTCTTTGGTGGTGGTGTCTGGAATCATTCAAATGGTTGGGTCGAGAAATTCAATGATATTCATATCTTTGATACCGAAACCCTTACCTGGAGCAAACCAGAAGTCAAGGGTGAAGTACAAACAAGTACTTTTGCCATTGCTTTTAGTGTTGGTCGTTATTTATTTATCTTTGGAGGTGGTAGTAAACCTAAACATTGTGTTACAAATGATATATATGTTTTAGATACTGAAACCAATTACTGGTCAATACCCACAATCCAAGAACCACGTCCACCAGCCAGAGATATGGGTACTGCTTGTGTTGCTGATGGTGATGTTTATTTTATGGGTGGTTATGATGGCGCTCCAATCAATTATTTTAATAAATTAAAATTCAATTTTAAAGTTTTATCAAATTTAGCCTCCCAAAAAAAACAAATACCACCACAATTTAACTACTCTCAACAATATCAAACTAATCAAAATAAAAAATTTTTACTATAAATTATATAAATAATAAATAAAAATACCAAAAAAAAAAAAAAAAAAAAGAAAATATTTATTTTTTAGAAATGAATATATAATCTATAGTTATTTATATTTAGAAATAAAAAAATGGTTTTAAATAATATAATAAAGAAAAAAAAATATTTTTCTTTTTTTATTTACTTATATTTATTTTTTAATTTTATTAATTTATTTATTTAATTTATTTTTTTATAGTTTTATATTAAAATTATTATTTTTTTATTTTTTTTTATTTTTTTTTATTTTTTTTTATTTTTTTTTTTAAATTTAAATTTTCATTTTTTTTTTTTAGTTTTCATTCGTTAAACAGATAATAATTTAATAAAAAATGGAGGTACCAAAGAGAAGAGTGGTTTTAGCATTATATAAAGAGTTAATATACTATTCAAAGCTTTTACCAAATAAAACTCAAAGTCAAGATAATTTAAAATTAATAAAAACAACATTTAGAAAAAACAAAGACATACCTGAAAACTCTGAGCAAATCAATAAATTGTTAGAAGGTAAAAATAAAATGATATTAAGTTTTATTTTTTGAAATAATAAAACAAATTTACTAACTTATTTCTTTCTTTAGATGGTCAAAAGAAATTAAGTTTTTTAAAGATTATGACACCAAGACAGTATTCAAAAACTTATAATATTTCAGGAACATATAAATTTGAAGATGGAAAGTGGATTGGGGGCAACGAAGAGAAAAAAACAAAGAGAATATATAAAGACCACGGCATAGATATTATGGATCTTAGAAGACATAACCATCTACTCAGAAGAATGAATTTCATGGATCGTTAAATAGGTTTAAACAATTAATATATAACATCATACCAACAAAGCGAATGTGGAAACTAACTAAAATCATCTTTTTTTTCTTTCTTTTTTTAAACTTTTTTTTTATTTATTTAATTTATTTTAAATAAAGTGTATATATTTTTAAAAGGCAAAACAAAATATTTTTATTTATATATTTTATACCAATTTTTCTTCTATAATAACCTTTTGTTTTTTTAAAATTTTATCGATTTTTGATTTAGCAGTATCATTTTCAGCTTTGACATTGATAAGTTTGGAATTTGGTCTTCGTTTTTTTGGTTTATCATCTTTTGATGGAGTTTTGAATAATGGATTTGGAATCATTAAAGATGGATCGGGAGATTTGCTTTTTTTAGTTGGAGTTTGACCATCATTAGTATCTTCACCATCTTCATCTTCACTGCTTTCCTCTTCTTCGATTGGTTCACCAGTTTTATCATCTCTGGGAATAATTTTACCATGAAACGGGCAAATATTGATGTCACGTCTTGGACATAGTTTGCCATTTTTTAATGGAAAGTTACATGGAATAGTTACCGGTGCTTCGTCTTCTAGGGTGTAGGTGAATTGATTAAGCATATTAAAGTTATCTATTGATATGGTGGGTTCGTAGGAGTCACCCAAAAATCTATGTTCTCTGTTAATACCATTATCTAAGCTAATCTCTTTTTCACCCCAGAATAAAAGTGATGTATTCATTGGTACAATTGGTGCACGTTTTAGTAAGTCTTCAACAGATTCTTCTTCGGGTAAATCTTTAACATCAACAGGCTTAATATCTCTTTTGTAGTATGGTTTATAAATTAATTTATCTGTTGGAGAGCCAGTTGTTGTGGTGGTAGTCGTTGTTGTTGTAGTGGTAGTTGTAGTTTTATTCTCTTCATTTTGCTCCATTGTGAACTCTTCCATTTCTATACCTTCGAATTCATCCTCTCCTTCGTCTTCTTTTGGTTGGGGGTTGTCATCTTGATTACTGAATGGTAAAATATCAATATCTTTGCTTTTTAATTTTGTATTATTGATTTTTGATTGAATATCGATTACTTTTCTTAAATAGTCAGAATACTGGGGGTCTTCATGAGAATTAATGTTGATTTTGATTAATGTTGTGTACCAATCATTAACAACTAGGTTTTGAATTTTCTCTAATTCTGTAATTTTATTTGACAACATTTGAAGTTTTTCCTTATCTAAATTATCTTTGGTATCATCTGGATTAACTGAAACTTCGATTGTATATTGTAAACTACCAAAGCCACCTTCTCTAACAATATTTGAATGATCTATTGAGGGTTTATTTGTTTTATCTTCTCTTTCCTCTTCATCACCAAATTCAATTTCTATACCATCTTCGTTATTACCTAGTTCATGCTTTTCTATTTCTTTTAATTGTTCTTCTAATATTTCTTTTTCTTTTTCTTTTCTTTTTAAACCTTCTTTATAGTCTTCGTCGTCACTTCCAAATAAATCGTCAAAATTATTTGATGGGTCGGGGATCATATCACTAAATAATTGCTCCATGTCATCTATAATTGTAAAAATTGATTTTGACATTTCTTCAAACTCTATTTTAAATTTATCATATTTTAATTTTAATAAGGTTTGAGTTTTTTCCTAAAAATTTAAATTAAAAATTTTAATATATGTTTATAGAACTCACAATAGTATTTATTTGATATTTACCTTTCTTTCATTTTCTTCCCTATCTCTTGATAATGCATTTGCTCTAATTTCAGGGAAATTTAAACGTAGAGAATTTTTTAAATAATAATAACCATTTCTTAATAAGCTATAATGAGCACCATAGGATTCATTCCATTTCTCTATATATTCCAATGTTTTAGCTCTTAAATGTAATACACTATTTGCAGGTGGTGGTAACTGAGTATTATTAATACCCAAAGTAAGTTCGAAAAATGTTGATAAAACCCCACATAGTAATTCCCTAAAATATTTTGATCGCATAAAAATTTCATTTATAATATTAACTGTTGAAATTCTAACCTAATAATTAAAAGAGAAAATTATTAGTATTTTAAATAACAATTTTTCTATAAATTATTATATACCTACTTGGGCATGTTTATATTTTAACCTATCAATTAATAAATCGAATGCACTTTTAATATTTGAATTTGATAGTTTTAAAATTGCTTTAAATTTTGAAACGTGGTCGGTAGAAAGATTTAATGAACCAGTTGATGTTGCATCTTTAATTAAATCGCTTATTTTTTTTCTAGATTCTATATCCATCCATTAAATAATTGTTTTTAATAATAATATAGTATTATATTTATAAATTTATTTATTAACAAAAATGAAATTTAAAAAATAAAAATAAAAATAAAATAAAAATAAAAATAAAAAAAAATAATTTTATAAAATTTAAAAAAAAATAAAATTAAATAATTTTTTTTTCTTATAATTTTAATATTATTATTTAATTTTAAGGTTATTATAATAAATTGTTATTATTGCTTAATTAAGTTTGATCACTCATTCAAGGTGATTCTAAAAAAAAAGTAATTATTTTTTAAAATTATTATTATTTACATATTTATTTACATTTTTATTTTTATTTTATAATTTATATTTAGAAAGTTTATTATAATTATTAATAAACTCTATATTTTTTATAATATTTGAACGGGTAATAATTAAAACTTCTTGTTTTAAATTTATCTTATTATTTTGTTGTGGTTCTTTTTTTACATTTAATTGATATAATTTACTTGAACGTGTAATGATATTACTTTTAGCAGGGGTTGTATTGGATTCTTTCTTTACTTTTGGAATATCTTTAGATTTTAAAACTTTTTTTCTAATGATTGTATCTTTGGATGATTTATTTGATGAACCACAGAGAGCTTGTTTAAGATTTATAATTTGAATTCTGTTTCTTTTTTGTAATTGACTTGATCTTCTTGTAATAATTCTAACCATTTTAATTTTTATAGTTGATCTATTGATTGTTAATGTTTTTATTTATTTTAATTTAAGTTTTAGTTTAATAATCAATAAAATCAAAAATTTACTTATATATAGCACAATATCTTTTTTTTTTTTTATTTAGAAATTTTTTTTATAAGAAATTTTTAAATTTTAAACAAAAAAGTTTTTTTGTGGAAATATTGAAATGGGAATAAATTGATATTTTATACACAAAAAAAAAAGAAATTAATCTTGGTTAATGCTTTTATTTTATTTTATTTATTTTTTAAACTTTCTATAACTTTTAAAGACTCTTCGATATGGGAGTGCGAATTAAATTGGCTTGAATGAATTAATGCAATTTTGTGGTTTTTGTCTAAAATAAATGTTGTTCTACCTGGTAAAATAAATGCGGTTTTACCAACACCATATAATTTAGCCAATTTACCTCCTTTATCTGAAAGTAATGTGAATGGTAAACTGTATTTAGATGTAAACTTATAATGGCTTTTAGTATCATCTTGACTAACACCAATAACATCTGCGCCAGCTTCTATAAACTTTTGATATTTATCTCTGAATTCACAAGCTTCTTTTGTGCATACTGGGCTATCATCTGTTTTGTATAATTTTTTATTTATAAATAAAAAAATATTAATATGAAATTATTTTTAAAAAAAATTAAATTACATACCTTTTGGATAAAAATATAATACAATTGGTTTACCTTCGAATTGACTTAATGATATATCTTTACCATCTTGGTTTGGAAAAGTAAATTCTGGTGCTTGGTCTCCAATATTTAATTTTGTCATTTTTTTTATTTATATTTATTGTATTTATATTTAATAATTAAATAATTTTATTTTTATTTTTATTAATATTAATATTTATATTTATATTTGATTTGATTTGATTTGATTTGATTTGATTGAAATGTTTAATAAAAAAAAATTTTATTTTTATTTTTTTTTTAAAACAATCTGTTTCTATTATTTATAAATTCTATACTTCTATATAACATTCTTTCGGACAGACACTTTATTTCGGCGATGATGGTTCTATTTTAAATTAAATGAAATCACCATCACAAATTTTAATTCAAATAAAAATTCTAAAAATATTTTTTTATTTTTTAATTTTTTTTTTAAAAAATAATTTAATAAAATTAGTGATGATTTAAAGGGTAACATTAATGAAATGATTCAAAATTTTTTTACGAGACTAGTCAGAGGAGTACAACAAAATAAGATTAAACTACACGTTAATTTTTAAATAAAAT